GTATTTTATGATGCCAAATTTACACTGGCACAGAAGTGCTTCTGAAGTGCCATTTAAAGGGATAGTTCACCTTCAGTTGCTTGTCCCCATTGACTTCCATAGTATGGAAAAAAAAATAACACTATGCAAGTCAATGGGAACCAGCAACTGAATGTGAACTATCCCTTAAAGTGTCTTTGCACAGACTGTTTAATGCTCCTCAGAGGTGGCTTAAATGCATTTACACAGCAATTACAACAATATACTTTGATACAAGGGGCTGAGGTGGGTCTGAGCAGGCATAATTTAGTCTGGCTTTGATGCGGCATTGTGTCTTTTACACTGAATTTTGAGCAGGCACAGACCAGCCTTAACTTGACTCTGTAAAGGTAGGTACCCGTTTCCTTTGCAACAAGGCTCTTTTCTTTGTTATAATATCAGAACAGTTGTATCACACTGACATTTATGCTCCCTAAAAAGTATCAGAATTCACTTTAATACACAAATTAAACCAATGCAATGTATTTTTGAATAAATTAATAGATACAGACAAAAAAAAATAGCTTTGTCAGCATTCTTTTACACTTCAGCATGTATAATTAATTACGCATGCAAACAACGTAGATGCGTCTCGTAGGGAGGGGGGCCGCCTGGAGCGCGGAGGTTACAATGATGTCCCCTCGATGCCTGTCGCCTGATGAATCGGCAAGCTGTCATAAGCACGCCAACGAATTTTAATCACCCCATTGCCGTCATGCTTCCAACACTTCCAACCCTCTGTGCCCACCCAACCCCATGGCAGCCCACCGCTCAAGTGCTTTCATGACACCAGTGTATGCAAATGTGGTCTCTGTGAGTCCTTTAGTGCATATTAATTTGACTGAGAGGGTTGATGGTAGCTGTATCTTCCCACTTAGCTAAACCGTTTTCCTCAGCCTGTGTTTTTCCGCATCAAACCCCGAGTCCTCACTTGATGCAGTGGTGTATTTCACATGGGTTTAATGCTTGTCAAAACTGTGTTTTTGTGATGAGAAATGGATGACCTATGAGTCATACTCATACTCACGCAAAGCAAGATGGCTCTCCTTTTTTTTTTTTTAGGTACACACTTTTTTCCTAGGATTTACGAACAAATCCAAACAAAACACTTGTTTTTTTCCACAGGCTTTAAAGATTTAACAGTAGTGTTTTGAGAACAGCTTTCTTGTAAAGCTTATGCTTTGTTGTATTAGCCTGTCCCAACATGATGGTCAACTGCACTCTTTCAAAAGTTTGTCGATATGATTTAAACAATTTTTTTTGGAAAGAAGTCTCTTATAATAATTGAAATAATTATTAATATAATATAATTATAAAAAAAAACTCTTTTCTATTTTAATATAATTTAAAATGTAATTAGTTCCTGTGATGGCAAAGCTGAATTTTCAGCAGCCATTACTCCAGTCTTCAGTGTCACATGATTCTTTAATAATATGCTGATTTGCTGCATAAGAAACATTTCTTATCAGTGTTGAAAACAGCTGTGCTGCTTAATATAATAAAAAGAAATAAAAATAAATATATGTTTTTCCGGATTCTTTGATTAAAATCTTTAAAATAAATTGTTTTAAAGGGGTCATATGATGCTGCTAAAAAGAACAGTATTTTGTGTATTTGGTGTAATGAAATGTGTTTATGCGGTTTAAGGTTCAAAAGACACATTATTTTCCACATACTGTACATTATTGTTTCTCCTCTATGCCCCGCCTTTCTGAAACGCGTCGATTTTTACAAAGCTCATCGGTCTGAA